TAATGCCTTTCCGTGTCCTTCCTCAGCTCTATCTCCCATTGTCCAATGTCACCATCCTGGCCTTCCAATAGGCCTTTCAAATGCATTATTCCACCCTTAGATCCCAGGATTTCATCCATCCCCAGCTTTCCATCTGAGTTCTGCTTGGGACAGAGCCCAGGTCTTTGTCTAATTGAAGTCCTTCCCCCGGACTGCAGATCCCACCCATTTCCCACCTCATTCCGTCAATGCCTCCTAATTAGTTAACCGTTCACCCTTTCCTCTGCACCTGTGAAGAAGTTCCATGTGTCTTTCCAATTTTCTTTTAAAGAAAACACCCCAGTCAGCTCTGTAAGTCCTTCTAACTTCCACTTTGTTGTACTTATTCTGTATTTAGCCGACAGTCTTGTCCCTTTCCCCCTCTCTCCCTTCCTTCCATGCAACAAATATTCATAAGGGATGTAGAAAGAAGGTTCTAGACTTCACGGAGCTGTCTTCCTCCTGGGAGGTGGGAATGACAAGAGTGATAAAAGTAGGAAGGCAGACAGGTTCGGATGATGTGCAGTGGAGAAACTAGAATGGGTAGTGTGGAAACTGTGGAGGCAGAGCGGCCGGGACAGCGACAGGAGGATCCCGAAACGGAGAAGGTGAGAGCTTGAGTTGAGACTTCAGTGGTGAGAAGGATCTAGAACCTGGGCAGAGAATACCCCCAGACAGAGGGGAAAGAGATTGAAAAGTTTCTTCAGAGGCCAGAATAAACTTCCAGGTGCAAGGGAGTTGAAAGGAAAAGTACTCAGCTCCCGGCTGCCCCTCCTCAGTCCTCATCCCAGCCTCGCGGGCATCCCTGCCCCTTTTCTGAGGCCATTATGGGTAGGACCACCAGTAATCCTCCACACACCCCAGCATGCCAGTGCCCACACATTACTGAACCTTGGTGCGGTGCCTGGCACTGCTGAGAAATCCTCTGCCCATCACTGTGTTCTCTCACACTAGGGTCTTGAGCCTCCTCGAGCCTGTTATGGAAGGTGATGTTATCTTTGGCTCCTGAGTCTGTCTGTCTGTCTGTCTGTCTATCTATCTATCTATCTATCATCTATTTCTGTCTTCCTACCTATTCACCCAACTATATTTAATTGACAAATAATCATTGTAAACATTTATGTCATAGCTGATGTTTTGATCTTTGCATACAATACAAAATAGAATGACTCATCATGGACATTTCCTTCATCTCACCAGTTTACCATGTGTCTGCATTGAGAACATTAAAGCCTTATGTCTTATTAGTAGCTATGAATCTCCAGGCAGAGAAAACAGATCACTAATACTTCTGCCTGAGACTTGGTACTGTTGACCAATGTCTTTCTTTTCCCAGCCCTTCCACCTCCAGCCCCTGGGTTCCGCCCTTGGCTACTATGAATTCAATTGTTTTAAATTCTATATATAAGTGAAAACATGCTGTATTTATCTTTCTGTATTTGGCTGTTTTCACTTAGCATCATGTTCTCTACCTCCAACCATACTTTCATAAATGGCAATATTTTTTTCTTTTAAAGGCTGAATTATATTCCATTATATATGTCCACACTTTCTTAATCCATTCATCTGTGACCCATTATCCATTGCAGGAGACTCAGGTTGCTCCCCTATTTCGGCTATTTTCAATGATGCAACAATGATTCTGGGAGTGAAGACAACTCTTAGATTTACTAGCCTTCTTGATCTATAGACTTCCTGGATAATCTCACCCATAGGTACAGCTTCAGCTTCTGTAGTGGGAATAACCAGACCAATGTGTTGCCTATCTTTTGACTTCAAACCTACTCTCTTAGCTCCTCAAAGCAGCATAGCCAACACTTAACTCACCCTCTTTCTTACCAGCATTTGGAGCCGCCTACATTCCTCTATTCCCTTCTCCTGCTATGCCATTCTCCCACCAGTTCCTCTTCTATCCAGCCTCTTCTGCCTTTCTACCAGCTCCTCTACCAGGAGTTGGGTCAGGGTGTTGCCGTATCCTGCTGTACCAGGCAACTCCTTCCCCTTGGCTTCAGATCAGAATCATTCCTTGTCATCCACCCGTGCGCTCCTCTGCTCTGAAGTGATTGTACTCAAAGGCCGCATCTCACCTTGCTAAAACACCAGATTGGTGCTCCTGAGCTCCAGATGGTCATCCCTGTGTGGACGACTTTGGGGGCCCAGGCAGTGTAGCCTTCCTTGGCTCTCCAGTGGCATCTCCCATGGCTCTCCTACACATAGCTACCTTTTGTACTCTAGCCTTGCTGAACGGTAGCAAACTGCAAACATAACAAGCTGTTCCGTGTTTGTTTTGGTGGTTTTTCCCTTTCATTATCTGTACTTGGGCGTTGAGCCTTCCTTTGCATGCCTGCCCTGATTCCATAGTCTTGCCAGACACCCACACAATCTTGTGTTCTATCAAACTGCCCATACCTCCACCAGGTGGAGACGGTCTCCTTTCTGTTCTCCAACACCTAAGGCAGATTCTGGTATGTGCTTATTACATTATTTACACTTGTTTTGTTTATCTACGGGGCTTCTCTAATGTGTGAATTCGGCTCACACAGTTCTGTTCCTCTGTTTCCTCATTGAGAACTAGTAGTTTGAAAGAATAGACAGGCTTTGAAGCTAACTACTTAAGGTTTTCAAAGCAGGCCTTTGAGCGTCCAAAGCAATAACCCTTCTCTCTTCCATGACTAGTTCCAGTGAAACTGCCCCAGCCTCCCTGCCGATGGGAGCCACGGAGCAGTATGCCTGTTACCCAAGGTAGCAGTGGAGGCTTGGGCAGAGGCCTTTGTTGCAGTGTCCAGCTCCTTCAGTCCCTCAGACTCGCTGTCAATGCATTGCTCATTGTGGATCTCAGGCAGGTCATGCAGATGACGGTAGGGAATCTATGGTACCAGACACTGCTCTGTGCACCTAAATGAAGTCTAAGGCTGTTAAGACCTGGGCTGGTCTTAATAGGCAAAGCATGTAGAAGGGGAAGGTCAGAGAGAAGACCCTGGCAATGTGTGTGGAGATTAGGAAGTTCCATCAAAGAAAACAAGAGGGAAAGTGAGGAAGGAGGAAGTGGCTGGTGAGATGCTTTGAGTAGCTTCTTTCCCTGGAGGAGGTGGAATTTTGTAGCTACTCCAAGACTGGGCAGTGCATGCTAAGCTGAGCTGGGAACTGAGAGAAGGAAGGAGCCGTGGAAGCATGGTGCTTTGTTCAATGTTACTAGCTAATTCTTTTTCCTGATGTTAAGAAACACCACCAGGGCTGGAAAAGTGGCTGAATGGTAGAGTGTTTGCCTTGCATGCATGAGGCCCTGCGTTCAATTCCTCAGCACCACATAAGCAAAAAAGTGGTGCTATGGTTCAATTGGTAGAGCGCTAGCCTTGAGCTCAAGAGCTGAGGGACAGCGCCCAGGCCCAGAGTTCAGGCCCCACGACTGAAAAAATAAACAACAAAAAAAGAAACATCACCATCACACCAATGATGTTAAGAACAGGGGGTGTTGGCCATGAGGGAAACCGTTTGCTCTTTAGGGAGGGGATACGTTCAAGGAGCCCAAGGAGGGTCTTCCTCACTGTGGAGCTGAGGTGCTGAGGCCATGTCTTCAGCCTGACAAGTGACACAAATAGAATTTCAGGAACTAAGGCTGGCAAGGTTTCACGGGAACCTCAGAAAACCTCTCCTTGCCTTCTGTGTCTTGTGAATGCACCTGTTACAGTAGGCTGCCTGAGGAAGGGCAGGAAAGGGGGAGGGGAGCATTATGGAGATTTACTGCTGGGCTCTTCATTTACTTGAGTCCCAGAAAGATGGAATTCTTCCCCCAGTAAATCTGCAGGGCAGGACTCCGAACCCAGGCAGTGTGGCTTGAGCTGTGTGCTCTGGAGCTCGGAGCCTCTGCTTAGAAGGAAGGGGGCAGGTAAGTACATGGGAGCTTCCTACCACACTGGAGACTTCACATGTTGCCTGCTTTCATGCTTCTAGAAGCTTCCTTGTATCCAGCACCAACCCCCTTCAAGATACCCTTAATAAATCACTTGTCTACAATGGCTCTAATTTCTAAGAGACAGTTTTTTGTGAAATATTTTATTGTTATTGTAAAGGTGATATACAAAGGGGTGACAGCTATATGTCAGGTAATGAGTGCACTTCTTTTTGGACAGTGTTCCCCCTTCCCACATTTAAGAGATATTTTTAACATTTTTATTGGGAGGGTGGCTGGTCCTGGAGCTTGAACTCAGGGCCTGGGTGCTGAACCTGAGCTTTTTTTGCTCAAGGTTAGTGCTTCACCACTTGAGCCACAGCTCCACTTCCAGCTTTTTTAGGCAGCTAACTGGAGATGAGACTCTCATAGTGTTTCCTGCTGTGCTGATTTTGAACCTTGATCCTCAGATCTTAGTTTCCTTGTAGCTAGGATTACAAGCATGAGCTACCAGCATCCAGCTCTTTTTTTTCTTCTTAAGCAAGGTCTCAACATGTAGCTAAGATTTACCTAGAATTCACAGTCCATTTGTCTCAGTTTCCCTAATGCTGGGATTATAGACATATACCTACATATACCCCAATACATTTTCAGTACAATAATTTAAATATTATATTTCCAACATAATAATTTAACTATTCTTCTAATCATATCACAGAAACTGTGAATAATAGAAAACAAATAAAAAAGCAAGAACACATCCCACTCTACATTATATGAACCTTATTTTCACATATTTCCTAATAGTCTTTTCATAAGTGCACCTGAAAAATGCAAATACAGTTTTGCATCTAACATTACAAGCTTTTTCTCGAGTTTTTGTGCAGTCTCTATCACTGAAATTTTTTAAGTGATGGTATTTTTTATGTGTTTTGGCGTATCAGTAGATCATTTGCAGTTTTCTATAATTGTGGGATATAGAGATCCACTATTAGTTTTTAAAGGCCCTTTGTGCTCAAGTGTGGTTCTAAAAGGCTGCTCAGCAGCCAAGGGTAATTTCTTGAATTGTATCCCTTTGTCTTTCTGTTGACAGGGATCTACCGAACAGAAAGGGACAAAGGCACTTTGTACGAGCTCACCTTCAAAGGGGACCACAAACACGAATTCAAACGACTCATCTTGTTTCGGCCCTTTGGCCCTATCATGAAAGTGAAGAAAGAGAAACTCAACATGGCCAACACACTTATCAACATCATCGTGCCGCTGGCAAAGAGGGTGGACAAGTTTCGGCAGTTCATGCAGAACTTCAGGTTGGTTGGTGCTCATTGTGTCTGCCTTGCTCCTCAATCTCCTCACCTCCCGTACCCCAGGTACAAAGGCACCTTTGTCTTCCTGCTCTGTTCTGCTCTTCCTATGAAGTTTATCATTTGTATTATTTGCCTTTTTCTAAAGTCATTAGAACGTGCCTGACAGGCACATACACTTTCAGTGTGAAGCATCGACAGGTAACCCCAACTATGTGGGAGGCAGTGGTAGGAAGATAGTGGTGTGAGGCCAGCCATGGAGAAAAATGTGAGATCTTATCTAGAAAATAACTAAAAAAAAACAGTTAAAAGGAGGAAAATGAAGCATCTTAACTCGCATTTAATAGTTCTCTGGGACACGGGGAGACATAAAAGATATTTCAGGCGGCCTCAGTAAATTTGCTCAAGAGGTTTTGAAACATAATTATCTTTCCCATTTAAACAAAAAATCTCTTTCTTTCTTTTTGTAATGGGAGACATTCAAAGAGAAAGACCCAGAGAAAAATCTATAGCTCTGTTATTAGGAGAACCTTCCTGCTATGAAACAAAGCACACAATGAAATAACAGATGAGCTTGAAATCAGTGGCAGAGAGGCTGAGGGAGATTTTGCAGCCAACGACAAACGTGAGGATGGTTTCAAAGGCCATGAAGGTGATTTTCATTTAAGAGCAAGAAGAGCAGAGGGGCTGAGCCAGCATGCTTCCTGGCAATGGGCAGAAATAAAACAGGACCTGGGTTTGAGCTGGTGAGGCTCACATTCTCCTGATAAGGCCTTTCTGTGCATGGCCACAGGTACAGGAGTCCTTGTGATACCAAATGGCCACGTGAAGCCTGGGAGGGTCCCACACGCACCAGGAATGGACAATAACAGCAGCAAGGAAGGGGCCTACTCCATTGAGCAGCCATGTGAGCAATGCTGAGCCCAGACACAGTATCTTGAATGAATCTCTGTGCCCTATAGAGTCATTATATGCACACACGCACGTGCACACTCTGTCCCTCAGTGTTATGCTTAAGGCTAGTAGCATTCTACCACTTGAGCCACATCTCTACTTCTGGCTTTTAGGTGGTTAATTAGAAGATAAGAGACTCACGGACATTCCAGGCAGGGTTGGCTTTGAACTTCCACCCTCAGATCGCAATCTCCTGAGTAGCTTGGATTACAGGCATGAGCTACCAGTGCCTGGCTCCATCTGAGCTTTGGTTGGTTAATCTGCATATTTAAATTGCCCTGCTTTCTTAACTGGATAAAACAAATTCTGGACATTGGGCTAGCCCACCAGGCATATCTTAGATCCACATCTTTGATCTCTTGGCAATTGGCTTAGTTAATTTCAAACTCGTTTGTACCTTCCAAAATAGAAGGGAAGAGTAGGGAAGGGAAGGAGAGGGGAGGAGAAGAGAGGAAAAAGGAAAGAGAAAGGGAAAGAGAAATGGAAAAGAAAAGAGAAAGGAAAAGGAAAGAGAAAGGGAAAGAGAAAGGGGAAGGGGAAGGAAGAAGAACAGGCAATAGTTGGTACCTTGTCTGCTAATGTGAAAACAGGAACAAGACACCAGACATGTGTGTATTTTGTTTTCCAGGGAGATGTGCATCCAGCAAGATGGGAGAATTCATCTCACGGTTGTTTACTTTGGGAAAGAAGAAATGGATGAAGTAAAGGGAATCCTCGAGAACACGTCCAAGTGAGTAGAGTCTGGAGTGGTAAGAAGGAGTCATGGTAACCGCACTCACAGTGCATACCCCAGGCTGAATCTTACATTTCCTTTTGTTTTCCTCCACACTGTGGGCAAAACAGGAGATTGATTACTGGCCGTGTGTAGGGGAATTAGAGCCCTCTCTCCCAGGGAGACCACCCTGTCTGACACTGGTCTTCATTGTGCACGGCTCATGTCTGTGACAGTGGAGATAAACTGCCTGAGCAGAAAATGTAAGGCGCATAGGCTTCTGCGGGCGTCTCTGAGCTCCTGCATGACCAAAGGTGATCACTCTCAATGCTGCAGATGCTACACTTTCACATGGAGAGCAAAGAGCAATGCTGTGTGCAGTGAGCTCTGTGTCAGCCACAGCTTGAAAAGCTGAGTGATTGATATTTATGCTCAGATCTCATCTACTGTAGCAAATGGTCTCTCCCTTTGCCTTTCATTCATTATGCTCTTAGAGATGCTAAGGAGAAGCCAGGGGAGACGGCTGAGGCAGGATCGTTGATTAAACCTGCTCAGTTGAGCAAAATCTATATTGAGCCAAAACCTTTAGACCCAAGATTGTGTATTCATACCTCTTTGATCAATGGTGTTGGGGGAGGAAGGGGAGTAAATATATTCAAAGGCAGAGTAGACGGATATTTTTCTCTGTCAAAATAAATCAGTAACTCCACATGGCACCTTGTAGCAATGAAGAAGCCACAGTGGTACTGTCACACTCCACTTTGGTATGCGTGGATGTTTGCAGGCCTCAGCAGAGTGATCGGGTGGGTGGTTTGTCTATCAGTGATGCTTTGAGGGTGATGGGTAGTAAATCTGAAGAAATTGTCACACCCATATGTGGTTGACATAAACAGGAGCCTCTCTTTTGCATTTCTGGCAAACAGCAGTAGGATGCTAGTGGAGGTGGCAGTACCCCTTGTATGCTGATGAACACAGGAGTAGAATGCTAATGATAACGTTTCAAACATTCTCAAGCAAAAGTCTCAGACTACAGCTTCCGGGTCAAAGTCTGCCCGTAAAGCAAGCTTCATTGGAATGTTGCGGTCCTATTTGTTTGCTTGTTTTCTGTGGCTGCTTGTACAGTTAGGTCCTTAACACTAAGACTTCAAGACTTACAATTTACTGTAAGACCCTTGATAGAAAAGTATGTGTTCCCTCCTGGGCTAAAGCAGTAAGGAGTTAAGAGTTAAAAGTAGTTAACAACTTAAAGCTAAAGGTTCACGTCCAAAGGAGATCAAAGAGAATGAAATAGTCAGATGTTCTAAAAGTAAGTGAAACAGAAATCTCTCAAGTCCAATGCCTTGCTGTAGCCTACTCTTCTCTGCTTAGGAATAGAGAGGGGGAATGATTCGGATTCATGTTTTGTGCACAGTGTGCGGCTTTGAATGTCCCTGCCAGTGTCCTTCTCTGAACATAGTATACAATAAGTTTTATCCACAGTCATCTGAACATGGAGTTAGGTTTGAGAACCAGTGTAAGGGAAGGGATGGCTTACCCTGAGTTTACACCCAGAGCTACAGCTAGGTGCCACGCCACAAGGTAGTGCAAGCATCTCTCAAGGTGACTCCAACATGCAGATAGAATTGACAGCTCCACTGATTGGCCTTGGCACTTCCTGATGGCCACATGCATATAAATTAATGAGTCTAATGGATAAACAGAAAGCCTTTGTAGACTTGTGGAAAATACTCTTTCTAGTGACTTCGGTACTTGTTTGTTTTTGTGATAGTACTAAGGATCAAACATGCTAGATGATGTTCTACCCCTAGAGCCACACCTCCAGTGTTTTTTTGCATTGAATGTTTTCAAGAGAGAGTCTCAGTTTATGCCTCTTCCTGCTTGTGTTTCCCTGTGTGGCTGAGAATGACAGGCACATACCATTGCAGCCGGTTGTTGCGCTTCCAGAGTTATTAGGATAACAGGCGTGTACCACCGTGCCAGCCATGGAGTCTCCCAAATTTTTATGCCTGGGCTGTCCTCGATTCATTGCCTCCTGATCTATGTTTCCCAAGTAACTAAGATTACAGGCATGAACCACTGAGCCCAGGTATGGTGTCCCTAACACCTGGGGCTGCAGCCTGATCTTCCCACGGTGTGGCATCCATGAATCAATCGGATTACCTAGGTCTGATCAACCAGCCTTAGTTGATGCCATACTTCTCCACAAATCTCCTCCTTTCATATGGATCTTCCTAGATCACCCATGACCTTGGCTTGGTTGCCCAAATTGGCTCTTAAGTCTCACCTTGTCACGAGGAATCAGTGCTCACAAGCAAATTGGGCACTGAGATTTCCCCTTCCTCCTTTCGCCATTGGATTGTCCTCCACCTCCCTTTTCCATTCGCTTGTCATCCTTCCATTCATTCGAGTGTCACCCTGGGTACATAGCTCCTCCTGATTCCTTATCCTCCCCCTGCCCCCCCCCCACACTCCTCTTGTGTTCAGCATGTGGCATGTGATTTGATGACTTACATTTCTTTTCTTTCTTTCTTTCTTTCTTTCTTTTTTTTTTGTCAGTCATGGGGCTTCAGCTCAGCGCCTGGGTGCTGTTCCTGAGCTCTTTTGCTGAAGGCTAGTGCTCTACAACTTGAGCCACAGCTCCACCTCCAGCTTTTTCTGAGTAGTTTCTTAGAGATAAGAGTCTCTGATGAACTTTCCTGCCCAGGCTGGCATCAAACCACGATCCTCAGATCTCAGCCTCCCGAGTAGCTAGAATTACAGGCGTGAGCCACCGGTGCCCAGTGGCGATTTCTAGCTTCCTGACCTGGTGATAGATGAGAAGTTAGCACGCAGGTGAGGCTCAGACTGGCTTAGGCCATCATTTTCCTTGGCATGCTTTCTTCAGTAGTTGGTCTGACAAACACTTGTCACTACACCCAGTTTTGTTTTGTTTCTTTTTTGTTTTGTTTTGCACACTGTTTGCCGGGGCTGTCTTGGAACTGTGATCCTCCTCATCTCAGTTTTTGAAGTACCTGTGACAGATGATATGAGCCACAGGTTCCCAACTTGAAGCACCTTTCTGGCTCTTTTGTGCTGGTGAAACTTTTATTGGATGCATTTAATTTTGAATGATAGTAGCTATTACTTACATGAATTATCATATTCAGTATTTACAATAACTTTTTAAGATAGATGTCCTTATTAATCCTATTTCATAGATGAAGAAATGAGATTGTTCTTTAGGCTTTCATCGCAGGCATATGAGCAAACCTCCATCAGCAAACCCTACTTAGAGTCTAGGACTTATATTGTTAGCAACAGCAGACTTCTACCCTGTGTACCCCTCCTGAAAGCCATAATTGTTAGTCAAAGGTAATAAGATTTGTAATGAAATTTAGTTTCATTTGGAGATTCACATTTTAATTAAACCAGCCTAAATCTGGCAAAATGCAAACATTTTAAGAATAACTAAAAATAAAATCTTGTTTAATAACTAGTTTGCTATGTTTTATACCCTCTCTCTCTCCTCTCTCTAAGTTTATGCTTACTCAATTGAGCTCTGCCTTTCAGTTGATTGCTATAGACCAATGTTTTGCAAACTCCACTTGGTGATTCATTAGAAGATTGTGAAATTGATTTAGTGGGCTGCGTCCGGTGTTTTTTGAAAAATGAGATGAAGTAGAGTAGAAAAATATCAGAGTGAATTGCAGAGAGTAAAGATAAATATCGTCTCATGAAACTTTAATTTCAGTGGTATGCCTCTGTGTGTGTGTGTGTGTGTGTGTGTGTGTGTGTGTGTGTGTGCTGCATCATTGTATAATATATCCTTATAAGGATTGTGTTTAGAATGTTTATAAGTCACTGCCATAGACAACAACAGTGCAAATCAGTTATCAACCTCTAATTCTTAATCTGCAGATTTTTCCAAGCTTCACTTTATGCCAGAGGAAAACCTTGCTTGCTTAGTAGTCCTCTATCTTTGGAAGTACTTGGGATGCTTTGTAAAATGCAGATTCCTGGGCCCTGGTTGTAATAATTCCAAGTTACTTTTCCCAAATGAAGCTGAGACCAAGTACCCCACACTCACTCAGCACACTGTGAATGCTGTGCGGCCCCCGCGTGGAGACACAGCGACCTCGGTGGATATTTGGTTGGAGCCACAGCATAGAAAACTTTTAACTGTCACGTGTATTTGAATTGGCATGGGCTGACATTCCCTACATGACAAGCTCACTTTTGTCCAGTCATGAGGATACAGAGGCTTCTTTCAGGGGAATCGTGTCTGAGATGGGTTCTAGAAAGATCTTCACTGCTCCGCCGTGGTGTGTGCAATGGATATGTTTGTTGTCAAGGACCTTCCTGGCGCTACTGTTTTATTTCATCCATATATCCTAGAAGAAAATGTAAAAAAAGGTTTTCTCCTCCTCCTCCTCCTCTTCCTCCTTCTCCTCTTCTTCCTTTTCCTCCTCCTCCCTCCTTCTCCTCCTCTTTCTCTTCTTCTTCCTCCTTCTGAAATTTGAGTGGCATTCTTGTTTTGCTTGTGCTTTTTTCTTCCTTTTTATTAAACAGTGAACTTTTAGGTAAGAATTTCATTTGCACACAAGTCAGGTGCCAGTGGCTCACGCCTATAATCCTAACTACTCAGGAGGATTGTGGTTTAAAGTCAGCCTTGGCAGGAAAGTCTGTGAGATTAGCAGCCAGATAAGCCAGAAGTGGAGCTGTGGCTCAAGTGATACAGTGCTAGCCTTGAGCAAAACAAGCTCAGGGAGCAGTGCTCAGGCCCTGAGTTCAAAGCCAGAACTAGCACACACACACACACACAATTGTTTCATTTGCTAAAATGCAATAGCTGTGAACATAAATGAACATGTTAAATTGAAGCTCCTTTGTACAACTACTTGAAGATATTAATAATAAAAGAGGGAAAAATAAATCACTGCAGGGCAAATCTCTCCCAAGTACAAAAACAGTCCTGGAGCCTGGGGAACAGAGGTGTGGGTATCAGCATCTCACAGATGGAGGCAGGTTTTAGGCCTGTG